TATATATATATATATATATATATATATATATATGCTTGTATTTTTATATTTTATGCAGATGCACTGAATAGAAAAAGACTTGATCATTCTAGTTGATTTATTCAAATCATCTGGTAAATTATATTTATAATGTAATATAATGCAAAACAAAATATTGCAACTTGTCAGTTTTTTTCCAATATCGTGGAGATCTATAAACTGGAAGAGATTTAATTCATCCCAGACAGTGAGTTGACTCTTTTGAGATACGTTCAGACGCTGACGTGCACCTCTTAAAAAATGTGCCTACACATCGCAACGTGTAGTGAAAGCTCTCTGATTGGTTGGTTTGGTACCGGTGACGAGTGTGGGCGGTGCTGAGAGCTGCGAGCCCGATGGATCGATTGTGTGTTGGAGTTGGCACCTGTAATAGTAAATCTGGGGGCCCTAAAAGTGCATGGGCCCATAGAATTGTCCTAACTTCCTCCCTAGCAGCGCCTCTGGGTAAAACATGAAAAAGTTATTTATAAACATATCAATTGCTATTGCTTTTTAATGTTACAGATTTATTAAGAGACCTATTTTTTTTAAAGAAGGAATACATTTATTTATTTTTATTTATTTATTGCAATAATGCATAATTTATTGATTTTATCTCCATTTTGTAAAACTTTACAGATTTTGTAAAGCTTTAATCTAGTGAGTAAAATAATGTAGAAGCTCAAAAAAATCTAGTTTTAATAATTTGTATTATGATAATCTGCAATTGTGACCTTTGAGATATGATTCTGAAATTTAACTAAATGATTAAAGGGACAGTGCACCTGAAAATAAAAATGACCTCATCATTTACTCATTTCAAAATGTTTTAATTGCTTTTTTTTCTTGAACACAAACAAAGATGCATATTGACATCCATAATCAGAACCAAAAATACTATGGGAATCAATTGCTGAAATTATATTTTCGTTTTTGTTCATTAGATGAACAAACTTTCACAGCTTTGAAACAAGTAGAGGATAAATAAATGATAGCAGTTTTTATTTTTTGGTGAACTGTCCCTTTAGTAATGTGGCACAGCATGGAATAAAACAAAAGTGATTTGTTTGCAAAAATTAGAAACATTAAAGCAGCGATCGTCTCCTGTCTGTCAGCTTACTCAGAACTGATGACCGAGCAGTTATGATGTTGTTTGACATGTTCGTGACAGCTCTATAACATAATATTTAGTACGGACAGCCGAGGTGCTGGGCTGGTAGATTTAGTGCCCTCAGGCTGCGAGATGTAACAGCATGCTGACTGAATCAGATCAGCGTGTGTGTGTGTGTGTGTGTGTGTGTGTGTGTGTGTGTGTGTGTGTATGTGTGTGCGCGTGTGTGAGTGTTGGAGAACAAGAAAGCAATTTTACGCTTATACGTTATTGACCCTTCACTTAACTCCGCCTCCTTTGGTTACTGGTGTTTTGTTCAGAGAAGGTTCATAGAACTGCTAGCAACCGTGAGCAGCATTATCTTCAAGAGGGTGTGAATATCAGTGCCATTATTAAGTGTATTGTTTCCTTTTGCAATAAATAAACATGCATCCTTCTTGAGACTCCAAAAGTATTCTGATAAAACGGCATATCATATTGATTTTATACAACAGTTCAGTAAAGAAGATTATTAATATTGAGTGAGTTACATATTATAGACAATCTTTTTTATATGTTAGAAATAGTTTTGTTTTCTGTTTCTGTAAAGGGCGGTGGCTCAGTGGTCACCTCACAGCAAGAAGGTTGCTGGTTTGAGCCTCGGCTGGGCCAGTTGGCATTTCTGTGTGGAGTTTGCATGTTCTTTCTGTGATGGCGTGGGTTTCCTCCAGGTGCTCCGGTTTCCACCACAAGTCCAAAGACATGCGGTACAGGTGAATTGGGTAAGCTAAATTGTCAGTATTGAATGAGATTGTAAGAGTGCTTCCCAGTGATGGGTTGCAGCTGGAAGGGCATCCGCTGCGTAAAACACATGCTGAAAACTTAAATATTTGATTAGTAATAAGCATTGCAAAGAATGCAATCTGGACAACTTTAAAGGTGCAGTATGTAAGTTTGAACCCCAGTGGTTGAACTAGGTATTGCATTTATGGATCAAAACAAACGTAAGCACAGGTTGCCAGATTGAGGACCAACAAGGCTGATTTAAGCCGTGTTCTATATAAAAGCAACAGCACGCGAAAGAAGGAATATTTTCCTTATTAAAAGGAGTTTTTGTCCTAGCCAACACCTTGAATTGATATGTTTGAAACGGCTTCTTTTTTTGCAGCTGAACAACAGAAAACTGTCAGTTTAAATGCCATTTTACATGACATTTATTGCCATACTACGGAAAGCAGCAGCAGATAGTTCACCTCAGATCTGGAAAATAAAATAAACCGTTTGAAATTGAACTTCAGAACTGAGACATGTGAGTGTTGGTTTATTAAGTATTAATTAGATTATAAACCTTACCATTTAATGAGTGAGTGCATATTCTGTGCTTCTGAATGGCTCTATTTTAACTTCTGTCGTGTTTCGTCTGGTGCAAACAGCCAAATTGCTCATCACTGCAAATCTCGTCACATAGCGTGTTGTTAGGAAATGGGTTACAATGTTACCTGCTCAACTAATGTTTATGCTCGTAATTTTTAAATTATTTGCTAATAATAACCACCTCCGGCAGCTAGCTCTCTGCAACTCTCACATGGTGGCCCTCTGAAGCTAGGAAGGGCTGTGCTTGATCAGTACCTGGATGGAAGACCACATGGGAAAGCTATGTTGCTGCCAAAAGTGGTGTTAGTGAGGCCAGCAGGGGGTGCTGTGTAGGTCCTAATGCCCCAGTATAGTGAAGGGGACTCTATACTGCTCATTGAGCGGCGTCTTTCAGATGAGATGTTAAACCGAGGTCCTGACTTCCTGTGGTCGTGAAATATCCCACGATGTCCTTCGAAAAAGAGTAGGGCTTTAATCCTGGCATCCTGGCCAAATCTGCCCACTGGCCTCTGTCCATCATGGCCTCCTAACCCTCCCCATATCAAAATTGGCTTCATCACTGTCTCCTCTTCACCAATCAGCTGGTGTGTGGTGTGCGGTCTTGCACAATATGCCTGCCGTCGCGTCATCCAGGTGGATGCTGCACACTGGTGGTGAATGAGGAGATTCCCCCTAATGTGTAAAGCCCTTTGAGTGTCTAGAAAAGCGCTGTATAAATGTAAGGAATTGTTGTTATTATTATTATTATTACCCCATGTAGAAATCTATGTCTCATTTTGGAGGCTGCTACTGTCCATTGGAGGTCACATTTTGGTCACAGACGCATGCTTTGAGAGCCTTCCTGAATGAATGAATGAATCAAAGAGAAAGAAAGGAAGGAAGTAAGTAAGTAAGTAAGTAAGTAACAAAGACAGTGTTCTGGCATGTAACTTACATGTTCAAAGCAGAATATCTGACTGCAGCATTGTTTTTCAGATAAATAAGAATGTTCACTTGGCATGTTTCTTAAATAGCTGCAAACATAGTATGGTATTTTTATGATTTAGAAGAGTCAAACACTCACATACAACACCTTTAAAGGTGACTAAATCAGTATTAAGATTTTTTGAACTCTCAGATTCCAGATTTCTAATAGTTGTAATATTTCCCTGTCCCAACAAATCATACATCAATAGTGACCTTTATTTATCTGGAAATATAGATGGGAAGATTTGAGATTTTGGACGCAGCTAAACTGTTTCCATCAGTAGTAAAAATTCAAATCGACTCTCACAGAAAGTGCTCCAGGCCCTTACCTGTATGGCTTCTGCACCTTCCTACATGATGCAAATGATGTGCGTTGTTTCAAAACCCTCACATATTGTATTTGCAGTAACATAATCTTGCAGCAATAACCTGTCAGGTGAAGCAGCGGTGCTGTAAAATGAGGCGTGAACGTTAGCAAATAGCCACAGCGCCTCTGGCTAACACATGCAGACTGCTGCACAGCTACTGGTGCAGTGTGTGTCCATCCCCCCAGGACACATGCGCACACACTCACAAGTATTGCTCAAAATGGTCTTTTACACTCCACTGCCAATTCTGACTAAGACAAACGGAGCTGAAGTGTCTGCTGACGTTTTACACTGCATGTGTGTCCATGTGTGTGTGCTTATTTATCTCTTACATAGAAGTGCTTGGGGTGTACTATTAAGGGTGTCACGATCCTCCAAATCCTCGATTCGATTACATTTTCGATTCTAAAGGCACGATTTGATTCGATTTCCGATTATGAATAATTAATTAATTAATGACCAATTAATTATTTGTAGCCTACCGTTTAAACTACCTGACCTGGATGGTCTTTGTTTTACCCATAAACAAATCATACAGTAAATGAATAAAGGAAAGATACACACATAATTACCACCTGTCAATCACTTTTTCTGCGGGACTCGTGAATAGGCAGTGATCTGTGTCGTTATAATGGCATCGGTAAAAAAGACGCACAACCAACAGGAACCAGCCAACAGTATCTGAGGTGTTCGCTAAAATGACTAAGTGCAAGTGAGTGAAAGATTGAAGCAGTCCTCTGACTGCCTGGACCTGCTGTCTCGAGCACATGGCTGTGTGTGCGTCTGTGTCTGTGTGGTCACGTGATGTGCATTTTCAGAGGTAGAGAGGAAGGAGGGCTGCTCAGAAATGCTACACGCCACTGTGTTTGTCAAATCGTTGTCGTTCTAAAATGCCATTTAAAAACAAAGACAGTGTAAACAGGGCCTGAGTGTGTACTTTTCGCGAGCTGATTTGCAACGGGGGCAGGCGGAGGATTGCGATGCCGGTGTTGTCTATCGGACGAACCGTACATAATACGTACATAGCAGAGCTTGAAAAACTGTGTTTTTTTTTTGTCGACAACACGAACGTTGTCAACATAACTCACTGGAAATCCAAAATGCTTACACACCGGCGACTTCATTGAAAGAGGAGAGGGTTTAAGTTTTGTCGACGGGTCTCCTGCTTCTGCAGTTTAACAAGCACTTCAACAAGCCTGTTTTTTCCCGCTTGGCAAGCC